CCCCAAAACCCCAAAACCCCAAAACCCCAAAACCCCTGTTAGTTAAGCTTTGTTGGAATATAACTATAATATAGATTAACTAAATATGAGAGGATCAAATGTGCCTAGTAACAGGGGCGAAGAATCCAAAAGCAGTAGTTTCTCAGTAAGTTATCATTGCTTTATATCTCCTTACCAGTTTTGTTTGTAGTCTATCTATACAAGCAAGTATGAAGATGGAATTGACAGTGAAGAAGAATATGACGGTACATTTGCCAAATAATATTTTAGGGTCTCCTATGGAGAGAGTGTCTATTAGCAAAGTTAATAAAACTAATCTTAATAACGAAACAAGGATGAATGGCGATAGTGAAGACGTTCGATACTCTAGTCCTAAGAGAAATAGAATGCTTGCATCTAATAATAATATATCAATGCTAGAGTTTACTAATCCTAAAGAGGGAACAGTCAGATCTAGTGCAGGTGATTTCCTGAGTAAAGGATCAGAGCTAGGGACTGAAGACCCGAAGAAACCCATCAAAGGTAATTAAAAAATTTATTCCAAAATTATGTGAATTTTATCATTTTTAGATGAGATTAAAGAGTCTAAGGTATCAAAGAAATTTTCAGAGCAAACAACAAAAAGAGTCTTGTTGATCGTTCTTGTAGTTGTGATGTCTGAATACATATTTCAAAGCACTACTTATATTAATGATCAGAAAAGCTATTCTTATGCACTAGATGTTATTTTCGATTTTTCATACTCAAGTAAGCTCATTGACCAACTTTGAATTATTTTTAAATAATCGACCAGTAACCTTATTAATTATAGATGACGTTATTGACTTTATTGAAGATTACCATAAGAAGAGCACTCACTATGAAATTCTTGAACTTAAATATAATACACGCAGACTTCTGGCTACCGAAAATTTAGGATTAAGAAATAGTACTAGAGATGAATTTTTAGAACAAAGAGGTAGCTACAGAGTGCTCGACTCAGATAATGAGCAAAGAATTATTTTTGACAGCCCCTCCAATTACAGAGATCAAGAGCTAGAAATAGTCTCAGGAAATGGAATGGAAATGTACATTCTTATCAAAGATGATCTTCAATTTGAAGCTTACCTATCTATGGGCAAGACTACCTTTATCCTTTTTATTATCATGATCAGTGCTTTGTTGATTTCAAAGGATGCTACTGCCCTTGTTCTTCAACCTCTAGAGACTATCATGATGAAGGTAGCAGAAATGGCGGATGATCCATTTCAAATTTTGAGGTTTTCAGAGATTGAGGCACAAGTCGAGAAAGATGTAAATAAAAATGATAAGGTTGTGTATGAGACAATGATCCTCGATAATGCTATTACTAAGATCGGCTCTCTTCTTCTTCTTGGATTTGGAGAAGCAGGAACTTCCCTTTTAAGCGACATGATTGGTAAACAAGGTGACATTGACACTCAATCAGCAGGGAAATAAAACTATTGGAATCTTTGGGTTTTGTGATATTCGTCAATTTACTGATACAACTGAGATTTTGCAAGAAGAAGTGATGGTCTTTGTAAACGAAATTGCTCAAGTTGTTCATGGAGAAACTCATGAATTTCTTGGAGATCCCAACAAAAATATTGGTGATGCTTTCTTATTAGTATGGAAATTCCCTGAAAACGAACTTTTTACTGGATTGGATGGTAAACTATCTTGTAGCAAAGATTCATATTTAATAAATAATTATGCTGAATCGGCTTTGATTTCGATATTTAAAATTATGTTAAGAATGAGGAAAGATCATAGAGTCGCAAATTACTCATCAAATGCTAAATTGATCGAAAAAATCCCAGAATATATGGTCAAAATGGGATTTGGACTTCACACAGGATGGTGTATTGAGGGCGCTATCGGATCATCATTTAAAATTGATGCGACTTATCTCTCTCATCATGTAAACTTCGCTGCAACTTTAGAAGAAAGTACGAAAAAGTATGGAGTCCCTATAGCAATTTCTCATGAATTTTATGAAATTTGTTCTTCTAAAGCGAGAAGATATTTCAGAGAAATTGACTGCTATCGAGATAAAGGGTCAAAAATAATCCATAAGATCTACACCGTAGACTGTGACACAGGAATGATATTACCTGATAACGATTACCCAACTGGAAAAGAACACTACCGACTAAAGATTAACAAGAGGCTGGAAAACTTAGTTCAGATAAAGGATCCTAACTTTAGAATGATAGTTCGTTTTAGACAAGATGATGAACTTATTTCTATTATGCAGAATATTCCTAGAAGACTGCTAGCTTGCTTTAGGAAGATGTACAGTTATTATAGGGAAGGAGACTGGGACAAAGCAAAGATTGGACTATCCAAGATTATAAAGAAAAGAGAAGATGGACCTTCTATCTTTTTGATGAAGATCATGGAGGAATATAAATTTATTCCTCCCAGAAAATGGAAGGGCATCCGAAATGTATAGAACTAATATATTCTATCTCTAAAACGCTATATCAGGGTTTCCATCTTTAAGAAATAATAACTATATTTTTATCTTACTTCCGTTCATTTTCAAAAGTGCGAAGACAATTCGGGGTTTTGGGGTTTTGGGGTTTTGGGGTTTTGGGG